TGCACACTCCGAATCTCACAATTCAGCAGGAGGGGAAGAAACACGGACACAATTGATTGTTGACGCCCAGGCATAGATGGGAAAACATGGGCAGTGGGGGGAAGACGAGATTCCAGAAGGTATGAGAAGATATGGGGACTCATGGGACATGCGCCTGTTCATTTGTGTGTCCCAGGGCCCCTCGTGGTCTCTTGAGGAAGGTATCGTGCGGCCGGGCCTCTTCTGTCGTGCACCACACCGCGCGGGCGCGAGACCCGAAGGGAGTCCAGAAGCACGGTGCGGTGCGCGCAGGTGCCGCTTCCTCGCCAGGCGGGGGGCTGCGAGCGACGGCGGGGGGCGGAGCCACGCCGCCATCGCCGAGCCGCCGCCGTGGGCAAAATGCTGGCGCGCGCTGGCGGTCAGGGGAGGAGGAGGAGGAGGAGGAGTAGGAGGAGGAGGAGGAGGAGGAATGCTACCCTGCCCCCCCTGTCCTCTCTTTGGGCCTCCTGGGCGGTCCTCGTCGCCACCGCTGGATTCGCTTCGAAATCCTGGTCAGAACGCACCCCAGGAGAGGTCCGGGAAGTAGGGGTATCGGGACGTTTTTGGTTTCCCCAGGTGGAGGCGGGCGGAGTGGGGCCGAGATCGTACATTCGGGCCGAGGTGCAGAAGATCGAGGTCGTTTCGTGGAGGGAGGGAGGGAGAGGGAGGGAGGGAGGGAGGGAGAGAGAGAGAGAGAGACCAGCGCGCTCCGAGGCCCATCCTTGCGGTGCATCAAGCGTTTCGTAGAGAGGGAGAAAACAGAGAGAGAGAGAGAGAAAGAGAAAGAGAAATAACATAAAAAACGAGACAATATCAGCGCAGTGGGACCGCCGATACATCGCCGATGCGGATCGATGAGAAGCCTGAGTTGCTCCACGTCGACATCGCCGATGCATCGCCGACGTCGCCGCTGCATCGCCAGTGCATCGCTAATGCATCTCCGATGCATCGCCGATGCATCGCCGATGTATCGGCGATGCGGCGCGATCTTTCGACCCCATCTGCTCCCACCGCATCTAGGAGGCCTCTACAGTCGTGCCGAGGTATAAGGTCGAGGTCGGTTCGCGGAGGGTATCCTGATATTCTCTGTGTCGGTTGGACGTTCTTGTGCATCCTGGGGAGGGTACCCTTGGATGTCCTGCTTATTTTGGCCGACGGAGGGCCCTCATGTTCTCGAGGGCTGCTCTTCCGGCCTAGGTCCGACTGCTTCCTCTGGCGCGTAGCGGTCGTTGCCCGCCCCGCCCCCCTCCTCCTCCTTCTCCTCCCTTTGGATAATTTGCAGTAGTGATGGTACAGTCGGGGGGGGGGAATCGGGATGCAACTCCTGGGAGCTCAAATTCTGATTTTGCACTGGTCCGAAGTCCGGCTTAATCCCGCTTGATCCCGTTCAGTCCCGCTTAATCCGGCTCAATCCCGCTTAATCCGAGGCCCACTCCGGCCCACTCCGGGGACCACCACGCCCATCTGCTGGAGTGCGCGCGCAAACCTTGAGATCGCTGCTCGCCCCCGCCCCGACGTGCCACGCCCAGCCCAGCTGTTCGAGCTGTACCGTTACCTGACCCCCCCCCTTCTGGGCAAGGACCGTTACTGGAAATAAGCGTACCCAACCCCTTTCTACACGTGAGGCGACTCTTGTCGTGAAGGCTTCGTGCTCAAGAACATAGTGCGAAATACGCACCTCTCGGGAATGCGCCGCAATGTGGGGCCACGCATGTCGCACACCTGCGCAACATAGAACGGGGTACAGAAGTGTAGGAGGAGGGGGAGGAGGAGGAGGAGGAGGAGGAGAAGGAGGAGGAGGAGCAGGAGGAGGAGGGGGAGGAGGAAGAGGAAGAGGGTGGTAGGAGGACAAGGATGACTGCGAGTGATGAGGAAGAAACGCTGGTGAGAGTAACAGCCCCATGTGGGCACGGCTATCGACCCCAAGGGTGCGTCTGGTACTGGAATCGTATATTGGGAGGCGCAAGCAAACAACCAGGTTTTTTTCACAAGTGGAGGTCAATTTTGACTTGTGCTTGGATACCGGAAAATCGCGCCGCATGGGGTTGCTCCCGGGGACGGTTTGGGCCGCGTTCCTTTGGAGTTCGAGCAGCTGGACGCCGACGCCGAGCCATTGGAAACATATCGCAAGCTGGAGCGCACAGCAATTGGCCAAGGTTTTCCGACTCCGCAGGGCGCCATTGCAGTCGATCGGTACCAACGTTGTCGCCGAATTGATGCTTACCAGTGATTTCTTGTATGTTCACTTGAGCATCCACGTCATAAGTCAGCGTGTTTCTCTTTCATCTTTTATAAAGTCGATCGGCCAGTGGTGGCGGTTCTTCCACAGAGTGGGGCAAAAGGGCGATCGGAAGGCATCGCATCGATTTCGTGCAGCTGTGCCGCCAGAGAATCCACAGCTGGGCTGGTCGTGTTGCTCGGCCTGCCACCGTCCAGGCCCACCGCTCGGGCTGCCCGCTGGCCTTGGCATGCAGAAGGTGGAGGTGGCGACAGGTGCAGCATGCAGACACAAAAGAGAGATGGACCGGGCCGCTCCCGCAGCACTTCAGGATCAGGGCCTGGGAAGAGTAGCCTTCGAAGGATTTCGGCGAAGGCGTCTCCGAGGACGTCCCCACGAACACCGGCTGGCCCGCCAGGGCGCTCGACCGCGCGGGTTGGAAGATACTCTGCGTGAACAACCGACCTTGGGCGGGCGGCGTTCGGTCAGAAAGCTGGGGTTGGCGCAGCCCCGCTGGGGGCTCTCGGCAGGCGTCCGATGAAGAAAAAGAGAGGAACAATGAGAAAAGAGAGAGAGAGAGAGAGAGAATCATAGAGATTGGCGAACGAGGCAACGCTGCCTCCCAAGACGTGGCTGGCCGGTCGGGGTGCGCAGGAGGAGAACTCTGGACATTCCTGGCGTCGCCTCCAGCGCCTTTGCTGGCGCATTCCGCTTTCTGGGGAGGGGGGGCCAGTGCGGATTCAAGACTCACCACCCACCAAACCACCCAACCGACTCCGAAGACCACGATGAGCCCTCAAATTCCTGGTGGGGGGGCGCCTCGGAACATTGAAGAAACCAATGTGGAACTCGTACCCACACAAGCCGAAGTGTGGGTCTTCGGGTTCGGTCTGTGTGGTCTGCTAGGCAGTCGAAGGGTTCCGCGCGGATTTCCGAATGTTCATATGCATGCTGCTTTCGTGAGTGTCCGGAGGGGGGGGGGGGGGAAGGCAGGCGTGGAGGCAGAGGCGGCGGCGGCGGCGGCGAGCTGCGGAGGAGGAAAAAGGAGGAGGGCTGACGGAGACGGGGGAGCGATGGGCGAGGAGGCGGCAGGGAGAACCCGACCGAGCCAGCCTTGCTGCCAGCGCTGGCCGAGACGGGGGTCGCGTCCCCGTGGCGCTCTCTCGCCTCTTGCCGCCCTCCCGGAGCTCGCGCCCCCTTCAGACTCTGCCCGCCTCCCCGCGGAATTAGCCCTCTTCGCCCCCTCCCCCTGAACCTCCCCCCCCTGAACCTCCCCCCCCTGAACCTCCCCTCCCCCCCCCCTCCCCCCTCCTCCCCGCTGAATTAGCCCTCCTCGGCCCCCCCCCTCCCTCCCCCCTGAACCCCCCCGGTCCCTCCGTCTCCCCGGCCTCGTCCCCCTCCTCCTTGGCTCGCCTCTGCCCTCGCCGCCCGCCCCGCCTCCTGCGTCGCACCGGTCCCCCCCCCCCCCCCCCCCGCACCGCGAGTGCACGCGCCTCCCCGCCTCGTGCCATCCGCTTCCGCTCCGGCCCCCCTCTCGCCTCGCTCGCTCTAGGCATCCCAGATGGGGTTCGAGTGCAGCCAAAGCCGATGCTGAGGATTGGTGACGTTCCCAAGGGTGCCCTTGCATCGACCAGCATGCCAACGACACCACCCCACCTACGGCCCCACCTACGGCCCTCCGTGTTGCCCATCGGGGGCCGTCGGTCGCACCACACAAAAGCCCACGCCAGATTTCTCGGTATACGCTAAGCCCCATGGGGCCGTAGCTGGGGTGGTGTCGTCTGCGTTCTGGCCGCATCCTTGCCTCTTCAGTCCATCCTCAGCCATTCAATGGCCAGCCACACGCTCGAAACACTTCGGCGTAGGCGTCCAAGGGGCTTGCATCCTTGCTTGCTATCAGATTTGATTGTAACCGCTTGAGGTCTTTAGCTTTTGTTCCCCCCTTTTGTCTCTCTCTCTCTCTCGTCGGTGAATCGGACTTGTCCCAAAACCTCCTCATCCTCCTCCTCCTCCCTCCTTCTCCTCCTCAGGAATGATACGAGGAAGACGAGGAGGAGGAGGAGGAGGAGCGAAGGAATAGGAGGAGAAAGAGGAGGAGCTAGGATTTTCCGTGAGCGCTCCTGAGTCATATTTAGTATTCGTCGTAGTCGTAGTCGCAATCGTAGTCGTAGTTGTCGTCGTTGTTGTTGTTGTTGCGCGATGGGTGCCGCGGATAAAGAAAACAAATCCCCTATTGGTGGGACTCCAGTCCTTCAATAAAGCGCCGAGTAAATAGTTTGTTCCCCTCTATTGAGGGGGGGGTCGAAAGACCTTTCAGGTCTAGGGTGGGTCGGAGGATAGCGCCGCATCGCCGATGCATCGCCGATGCGGCTCGATGTGTAGCCGGATTTTCTCAACGCCCACGGCGCCGATGCATCGGCGATGCGGCGCGATCTTCCGACCCCGTCTACACGGACCCCATTTGGGAGGCCTCTTCTTTTTCGGGCCCCGTGACAGGGGGGATGAGATGATGGGGGGGTACAATATTTGTCGTTGATGCGTAAGGCGCTGGGAAAACCAGCTCCGCGGGCTAACTCCCCAGCCCTCCCTGTACGACACACCCTCTCGTCCGAACCGACTCTCGCGGGGAGGATGGATTTTGTTGCTGCTGGCGCGTGCACGCTGACAGGACATTGCAACCGCACAGAGCATCAAGTTACAACCTCGCATCTCCCGTGCGTCTTTCTGACGAGCGCGCAACCGCTCCGCCCTGGACACAACCCGCAGATGCCACCTGGGCTCAGGGTTGCCTTCAGGCTGCCGTGCCGGGCCGGGCGCGGCTGCTGCGTCCTGGCGATGTTGATTCAGCTCCCCTGCTGAAGCCAGGGACTGCCGGGGGGTGGTACCCCAGGCTGGACGGCATTGGTTTGCGGGGACCCCAACAGGGAGTGATCTTCGATGGAATTCGGTCGGATGCCCGGTCGCCATGCCGATAGTTTCCTTCGTTTTGTTGTTGGGCGGGGGGCGCCTCCCAGAGGCAGTGTAGTCCAGCCGGCCCCTCGGATCGGACATATCCTGTTGGGCCCCTCGCGCGGCATTGCTGTCGCCCTCCTCCCCTCCTCGCACCCTCCTGGGCAAACATAGGGGAGATAGGCATAGGAGGGAATGCATCGCCCTTCAACGGCCCACTGATCGCCAATAGGGGCCCGGTAGCTTCAACCTGCCCAGGAAGGTGCGGATTCTCTATCGGAGGCCTATCGCCGACCCATCGGCGATGCATCGCCGATTCCATGCCGACGCGTCCCCTCCTATGCCAGTCCCATTGCATCGTTGCCTCATCAGTCGCTCGTCCGCCATCCCTCTTCGTTCACCTCCTTAGTTTCTCCCCCTTTTCATCCCGGTCCTCCTCTTGGTTATCCATTCGCCGCTTCCCTCCTCCGCCGCATCCTCCTCAGTTCTCCCCGGCTTCCTTTACACCTTCTCATCTTTTTTATCGAACCTCCCGTTCGCCCCCCTCCTTCATCACCCTAAACCTCCCGTTCGTCCCTTCCTCGTAATGTGTTCGAATCTGGTATGGATCGTTAGTTGTGTTTCTTGTCGATCTCTGGCCGATGTACGGGTCTACACGATGAATTGCACACCTTGTTAAACAGTTGCAATGTGCATGGTGGTATGTGCATGTATGTTGTCGTTCTTCTCCAGGTCTTCGGCTATGCTGTAGAACACAGGCGCGATTCTGGACTGCACAGCGTCCTGACGCTCCCATTGAGCCCGCGTGCCCTTGACCATTCATCTTCGGTGCATTCCCAGACCTCCTCTGGCTGTTGGGGCAAGTGCCATGCGTGTGTGGGTGTGGGCCGATCATCGTATACGCTTGGCTTCCTCCCCTCCTGTGCGCTCCCCCTCCAGGAGGAGGAGGAGGAGGAGGATGAGGAGGAGGAGGAGGAGGAGGGGGAGCTCGAGATGGAGGAGGAGGAGGAGGAGGAAGAAGAGGAGGAGGAGGAGGAGGGGGGGGGCGGAGGGGGAGGGGGAGTGGGAAGGAGGCCTCCCGACTTCCCCAGAGGCTTCCTGCAGATCCCCACGACGGAACTCTGAAGCTGATTTTGGTCAGCTGCCACGGTCGCTTCGCGCAGGCCGGGTCCGTCCTCCGCGGGAGACGCCTCGCGCTCTCGGTGTCCAGAGATGGCTTAGGGTGGCAACCAACAGTATCAGACCAACGTGGGCCCTCGATCATCCCGCACCCACCCACGTTGGTGCCTGGTCTGTCTGCCGTTCGCTTGCCCAGCTCTTTTCGCTCGCGTTCGGGGCCCCGCCTTATCTGGGCGGGGAGCGGTCGGGGGTAACCTCAGATTCGGAGTTCTGGCGTTCGCGCCGGCGTTGCGCTGGATGGTATCCGATCGTAGTTTTCTCTGGCCGTTCTTTGCCCCGTGAAGATACCCATCGATCGTTGAAAGTAAATAATTGTAGATTTCCAGTTCCCAAGCTATTCTAGCAGCCTTGCGACCTCAAGAGTCGAGTGGTTTTCCCTCTTCCCTTTCTCTCTAGTGGGCGGGCGCGCTTTTTTTGTTTGTTTGTTGTTTTTCTCCCAACGCCTTCCTAGTTTATGTTTCTACGTACTTCTTCCGGCAGATGGGTGTTGCCTAGTGCGTTCTCGAGACGACAGTTCTTTGGGGTAAGAGGTTCCAGGGCGCTCCCGGGTCGCACTTTGGACTTCCATTATGGGCGGGGATAATCGTGGGGGGCGGCGAAAGGGCGGGCGGCGAGGGGTCGCATAAAAGGGCCCCCCCCCTTAGGGCCCTTCGAAGGGCCAGTGAGGGACCCAGAGGGGGACCCTGCGAACCCGAGAATGGCAGCCCCCCCCCATTCAGCGCCCCCCCCAAACTATTCGCGCCCAACCAACAGGGCCCTGCGCGGACGAGGTTTGTCCCGGGCAATTCGGGCGCTCCCCCTTTTGCTCGCAGGCCCCGTCGCGGGGATAGCTGGTGCTGGTAGGGCGTTGGGGGCTGGTGTGCGGCAGGCCGCGTGCGGCTTGCAACGGGCCAGAGGAGCTGCCGTGGGCGTGGTTTCGCTGCAGTGTCGCCAGCGGTCCGGGGGGCGGTGCCTCACTGACGCCTTTAGTTTTGCGCGTGCTTTCTCTGCAACCAGGGGCGATTCTATTCGATCATTCAGTTTGACAAGTGTGTTCGGTCGTCCCATTCAAGTTTGGGGGTCGCCGCGGCTTCATCGATAGGTCACGGTCAAGCTCGGCCAAGCCTTTGGAGCAACAGACATGTTGTATTACCTGGCGGAGTGGATGCGCCGTTGTAGTATCTGTCCCTATTTCGGTTATGAACATACATGTTCGTCGTTCCGCGCGAATTGCAAATATTCGCGCGGGGCCCCTGTACGCGGCGCTTCTGGCGCCGCTCTTGCCCTTGGCGCAATCTGCTTGCCGTGGACGGGGCTCCAGCGCCGATCCACGGAAACCGCGCGGAGGTCCGAAATTTGAGTTCAGGCCGTTTTGTTTTCGTGTGTTTGGGGTTCGGGGGGGCACCGCGTTGCGCCGAAGGTTACACCGAGTTTTTTGGGGGGGCGCGGCGGGAAACTCTTTCGAGGTCCTCGCCGGCCCTCCGAGGTGCAGGTTGCAAGCCGCACTTTGTGCAAACCACGCCTTCCTGGGGGCGCCGGGGTCAAGGGGGGAATTTGCGAGTGGCGGCCCGTGGCCCGGAAAGGGGGCCTCTGGACGTTGCAGGCGGCCACAAATTTGCCAGCGGCGTTGTTCTCCACGCGAGGGGGTCCGGGTGGAAGGCCCGGCGTCTCGAGGCCTCCTAGACTGGGCCGGAGTAGATGAGGACAGAGGATCGGCGATGCGGCGGCGATGCGGCGGCGATGCGGCGGCGATGCGGAGCCCGCTTTTCTCCACTCCAGCGTGACCGGTGCACAGCCGACGTCGGCGATGCGGCGCAATCATTCGATCCTATCGACTCGGATCCCATGCAGGAGGCCTCTGGTGTCAGCACCACCCACAGTGCTTATTCTGCGTGCGAGCTGGCCCCGCAAGGGCGATGCGCACGCCCAAAATTCTTTATCGTGGGAGCTCCGTCGCGGGCGCCTCCTGGTCATACCGCTCGGGAGTCGATACGCGACGGTACTGGTTTTCTTATCTGCTCGTGCTGCACGTGCGCCTCCAACGTCAGCACATCAGACTATCACGTTAGGGCCGCGCCGCGTTAGATCGGCGGCGAGCCCAGCACGGGTGCGTAAGGTTGGGCGTCGCGTCGCCAGTGGCGCATGCTTGCCAGACGTCGAGCGGGCGTAGGCGCTTTCGTGTCCAAGGAAGCGGGCCGCTCTGGCGGCCCGCGCGGGCCATCGCGTGAGATCGCCGCGCCACTTCGCGTAAGACTCGTCTTTCTTCTTCGTGCATGTGGAGCTATTGTTTCTTCTTCTGCGTCCCACAGGGGGTGGTTTGGGCATCGCTCGTCCGGGTGCGCTGTGTCGGCGAGGGCCATGGAGGAGCGTGCTGGATCCCCGGACGAAGCGTGCAGGCAAGAAACCCACAAAAAAGGAATGGGGAATGGACGTCCGAGCGATGGCGAGGGGGGAGGGGGCGCGCGGTGAGGACTCGCGCGGCGGCATGCCCGCCGGCTACGAGGATATGCTGAGCCGGGCGCCCGGCGGGCTCCCTCGCGTCTCGCCGGCGTCCTCCTCTTCCTCCTCCTCTGCTCCTTCTCCTCCTCCTCCTCCTCCTCCTCCTCTTCCTCTCCTCCTACTCTTCTCCTCTCCTCCTCATCCTCCTCCTCTCCCTCTCCTCTTCTCCTCTTCTCTTCCTCTCCTCCCTGTTCTCTTCTTCCTCCTCCCCTTCCTCCTCCTTCCCTGCGCTGCAGCGCTCCTCCCCCTTCCCCCTCCTCCCCCTTCCTCCTTCTCCCTTCCTCCTCCTCCCCTTCCTTCCTCCTTCCTCCTCCTTCCCTGCTTTCCCCCAGTCGGGCTCTTCAAAGGCAGCCGATCTTACCCGATCCTTCCACTTTCTCCCTCCTCCCTCTTCCCTGCTCCCTCTCGCCTCCTCTCTCCTCCCTCATCCGTCCTCCTCCTCGTCCTCCTCCTCTCCTCATTATCCTCCTCCTCCTCCTCCTCCTCCTCCTCCTCCTCTCTCCTCCTCCTCCTCCTCCTCCTCCTCCCTCCTCCCTCCTCCCTCCTCCCTCCTCCCTCCTCCCTCCTCCCTCCTCCCTCCTCCTCCTCCCTCTCCCTCCTTCTCCTTCTCCCTGTCCTCCTCCTCCTCCCTTCTCCTCCCTTCTCCTCCCTCCTGTCTTCTCCCTCCTCGCTCGCCCGCTCGCTCCCTGAAGGCTTGGGTGCGTGGCCTACACTCTGGGGGGGGGAGGTATCTTTGTGTAGGGGGCTTGCGTGTGTTTCTTGCGCTCTTTCTCCCTTTTGTTCTCCTTTTTTTCATGCTCACCATCAACAGTAGCAACAGCATCATCATCATCATCATCATCATCATCATCATCATCATCAGCATCAGCATCAGCATCATCATCATCAGCAGTATTATCATCAGCAGCAGCAGCATCATCATCATCCTCTCCTTCCTCCCCCTCATCGTCGTCGTCATCCCCATTCCTCATCATCACCACCATCATCATTATCTGTCCTGGTCCTCCTCCTGCTCCTCATCATCAGGGCCCCGTCATGCGCGTTCTGAGACATCCATTATGGTTGATGGTGCTGACGATGATGACGAGGAGGATGGGGAGGAGGGATGATGCAGACGATGATGATGCAGAACCTGATGATGAGGATAAAGAGAAGGAGGAATCTGATGAACGGTGATGCTGATGATAGTAATGATGATGTTGATGATTATTATGTGGATGTTGCTGATGCTGATGATGATGATAGTGGTGGTGGTGATGACGATGATGATGATCATGGTGTTGCTCATGATGATGATGGTGGTGATGATGGTGGTGATGATGAGGAGGAGTGGCGGTTATGCGGAGAAAGAGGAGGAGGGATGACGATGATGAAAAGGAGGAGGACGACGAGGAAGAACGGGGGCAGGGGGAGAAAGAGGATGATAAGGGGATGGAGGAGAGCTGACTTTCCTGCCGTTCCAGCTGGCTGCTTTCTCCTCATCATCACCACCATCATCATCCATCTTCATCATCATCAGCATTCTCATCGTCATCGGCATCCCTCCTCCCCACCCTCCTCGTCACCATCGTCAGCACCATCATCCCTCAACATCCTCGTCCTCATCATCGTCCATCTGTCTCGTCTGCCTCATCCTTTTTCTCATCAGCAGTATCTTCATCCGCCATTTTGGCTCACGGGACTTTCGAGGTGAGGAGACCTCTCGGCAAGCCTCACAGAGAACCCTGCGCGCGCGGCAGTTTCACTTTTCTGTTTCTCCTCTTCGACCGACCTTCCTGTTTTCGCTCCCATGGCCGCGGCTGCGAGTTCCGCAGTCGCGACGGCCCTTCTTGCAGGCGAGTCTGCTATGAAGACGGACCGTGGTGACGACGTTCCGACAGATGATGAGATGTGTGGCGGGCGACCATCGAGCACTGGCGGAGTCCCCCTTCTTGCAGGACCCGCGCCAGGATTTCCCGCTCTTCCTCCACCGCCTGCCGCGGAGTTGAGCAACGAGGCTCACGCGATGGTGATTGCGATCCAGATGTACCTCCGCCCGCAGTTCGATGGGTTCACTTCGAAGATCGGTAATGTGTCATTGAAGCACACGACGATGGACCTGAATACCAATGCGAATACGCAGCAAATGGACGCCTTCAGCACTCGGTTAGACAGGACAGACACGACTATTGCGGAGTGGGCGGCGACAACCACGACGCTGGAACAGAACGGAGGAGGCAGTGCAGGTTCGGCCAGGTCAGTGATATGAGACCCAGGCGGCACGGCACATCGCCATCATCTGCTCAATCTTTATGCCAGGGGCGCTTCGTGGGTGCCCAAGACCAGGACACAGGTGATCGTCGTGTGCGGCTTCCCACAGGACACCAAGAAGGCGATCATATTCCAGAGGCTCCGCGAGATCATATCCGTGTCGCCGCAATTCCCAGGATGGACGGGCCCAAACCTAGTGGAGGATTGTTATACACTTGGGCAGTTTTGCTCCTTCGGCAAGATCAATGCTCCGCTCCTCCCAACACATGTGGACGTTCCTGAAGGCCTTCAGGGGCCATCGATTCACGTACGAGGGCAAGACTCTTCCCCACCATATCGACAACACGGAGAGCGAGAGTACCATGAGCAGGAGAACGTCGGCAGCCAGAAACGTCCTCATCGGCGAGCTGAAAAAGCTGAGCATCTTCTGCCAGAGCCCCACGAAGGAGGACCTCATTCGCACGGTGCCGAGCGACTGGGATTCGGGGATAGTGCGCTACCGCGCGACAGACGGACATATCACCAGGATCTACGAGGCGAACCGCGTGACGGGACTCTTCGAGGCATCGACGACGGCAGGCGGCGCGGCGCTGAATATTCGCTTCGCCGAGGCTCTGCAGGACATCAGCTTCGGCGCCCGCTGATGGCTGGGTCCAGAAGAGGCCCAGGGCAGGTGCTCCACATTGCGAGCAGTTTCTTGGAATGTGCGTAGCATCGAATCTGAATTCAAGGAGTTTTGCGATGAATTGGACAGGGAATTGGAGTGGGATGCGCTTCTACTCCAGGAGGACATCTGCTCAGAGAATGTTGTTTGCACGTCTTTAGACTCAGGTCATATTCCTTTTGTCTCGAGCTCCTCTCAGGGGCGCGGAAAGGACTGCCGCAGTGGTGAATCGCTCGTTCGAGGGGGACATCGATGCACACTTCAGTCAGAAGGGAGAGGCAATGTCTTTGGGTGTTCGTTGGGGGTCACAGAGCATACTTCTTATCAGCGCGCACGTGCCCCCCTACGGCCACGTGGGGGACGACAACGCATGCCTAGATCACATGCGTGAATTGATAGCCGACTCACCTTGTCAACACTTAGTGATTGGGGCGGGCGTTCAGACGACGGTTGGAAACCGACATGGGGGGCCCTTGGTTGGACCTCGAACCTCTTTTAGACGGGGCGACGCCGTTTCCCCCCTCTTCCTGAATTTCGTGAAAACTCACGGCCTGGCCCCGGTCTACACTTTGGACTCGGCGCATCTGGAATGCTGGACGTGCCGCTATGATTATCAACGCGGCTCCCTCCCTCGCCAGATCGACTTTGCCGGGGTGTCTCGGGACCTGTTCGATAACGACGTGCAGTTTGAAGTTTCGACCCCCGCCCCAGCCGCCGCCAACTCGGACCGCCGGCCCATCGCAGTGGAACTGCGAGATCAGAAGGCGCCCCGACCGCCGAGAACAATCAGATCTCGCGGGTCGAATTTGCGCTGTCCCTGGATCCCAGCAGTTGGTGCATCTGGCCCGATGGGGGTTTCTTCGGGGGGCGTCGGTTACCGACGCGGGTGGAACCAAAGGCGGGGCGGGGTTTTGCTGTTTTCCCCTCCTGGGCGCGATGCGCCAACATCTAGGAAGGAGTCGCCAGTCTCGGCGCGAGGTCCTGTCGCGAACGACCCGAAGCACATTGCGTTTCTAGGTGCCGCGAGGAAGACGAACGGCACGGACGAGATCGCGGCCATTATCGAGTTCGGTTTCTGGCTTCTTAAACAAGGACAGGTTCAGTTGGGCCTCTCTGTGACCCCAGGGGCCCGAAAACGACCGAGGACCGACGCATGCCTGATGCCCTTGGGGGCGGCCGTCACGTTGCGCGCCGACGCGAAGCACGGGATCCAAATTGCAGAGGGGCCGCTCGTCCAAGGGGAGACGCTTCGATCGCTCATCTCCTGAGGCCTTCGATGCAGAACGCTCGGAAGTGTTTCAATATCGACGTCGCCTGGGACAAATCTCACCAGAAAGAGAACGTTGAGGGCGACTTCGCTGAATATCTAGCGAAACACGGGGCCGCTCTACCCGCGGAAGCTGCTGGGCGGCAGCGCCCCCGCCGAGTCGATAGGTTTCAGATGGACTTTTTTCCGTCTGCCGGGTGGGGCCCAACACTTGCTCTTGCCCTTGCCCGAGCAGTTGGCGACGCAGAACGCAAGGCTGCACGTCAGCTGCCCGCAGCACCTCCAAGGAAGGGGGGCCGGAGACTCTGGGCCCCCCGTTGCCGCGACTGGGTTCGCAAGGCCTCGATCTTCCGACGATATCGAAGTTCGCGAAGGCGGCGGCTAGCATTGCAGCTCTTTGCGGGGCGGGAGGGCCGAGATCTTCAGCTGGCGCAGTTTCACGGGGCCCCGCTACTGCAGTGCTCGCGGGACCTCCGGCGGCAGCGAAGGGTGGAATCCAGAGGCCGCGTCCGCGGGGCCCTGGCGAAGGAACTCTAAAGGGGGCGAGACGCAATATTTCACGACTACGAGCGACGGCTCAGATCGACGAAGAGCCTGAACGATTCCCTGCGCCACTGGAAGCACGACCCAGAAAGCGCATCTTACGACGACCTCTCGACGACGGATCCATTCAGACGGCGGCGACCGCCGCGGAGAATTCCCAGATGTTGACATCTTTCTACTCCGACCTCTTCGGCGACCCCCCCGCGCTGCCCAGGGAGATCTCCCCGGGGCGCCCCCAGCAGAGCCCGGGGTGCGTCGGGGGCCCGCTTGGATGCAGGCCCGCTGGGGCTCCGCTGCGCTGGACTGTTTCAGACGACTGGATCGGGGATGGGCGAGCGACGGTTTGATGGGCATTAAGATGGGGAAACAGGGATCCAAGATAGATGGGGCGGTGGTGGAGATGCTGTCCAAGTTGCCCGAGCAAGCGATGGAATGCGTCGCAGAGCTGCTTCGCAGCCGCCATCTGAACGCCAACGGGGAGGAGGGGGACAAGACACGGGGGACACATAATCAGCCTGCTAGCCAAGACTGGCTTCAGCATGAGCGGTAGCATTGTGGACCTTTGCCCGATCGCACTTTTGCCAGTCATATACAAGTGGCACAGTCACAGCCTGCTGCTCCTGCTTGCCCCCGAACAGCGGAACCATTCGAAATGCCAGTTCGCGTTTCGGTCGGGGTTCCAGGCGGACGGTATCATTTTCATAGTTAGACAGTGGATCGAGAAGTGTAGCGAATGGGACTCAGCACGCCCACTTTTCACGCTCGCAGGAGACATTTGGAAAGCCTGCGACTACGCCGGCCGCGCGGGCGTTGCAGCCGCTGGGGTGCAGCACGGCGCCCCGGAAGTACTACTGGCAGGATGGCCAAGGGAGGTGGGAAGGATGAGGCGACTGTTTCGCTGGGTGAGATGACCGCAGCCGGCCCCGTCGCGCGAGGTCGCTCCCTGGCGCAGGGGGGCCCAGCTGCGCGTTTCTAGTTCAATCTGAGACGGGGCGCCCTGATCGCACTGTTCGCGCGGCGCTGCGAGCGCCGCGGATGGGGTTTCCGCTGGCAGGCTTCACAGGAGAATCCCGACCAGGACTTGTTCATCCCGATTTTATGTTTTGCAGACAACTTCTGGATCTTGGAGAGGACGAGGAAGGAGATGAATATCATGACGAATAACGGGTTACAGATGTTGGAGGAGGGGGGGCTACCAGGTGGATCTGTCAGAATGCCAGTGGTCGAGTACACCCTTTCCCGATGCTCCGTGCTGGAGTGAAACGGTGGCCCTGGCCGACACTGCGAATGAACGGGTGCCGAGGGGCGAAACGATCAAGATCCTGGGGGCGAAATTTCCCATGTCGGAGTAGACGACGGAGCGCCTGAGCATCGGTTTTCCCATGCCTGCAAGGCCTGGTTTCGATGGCGCAGCGTCCTGTGCCAGCATTCAGCTCCGCTGGGCAAGCGGCTACTGCTCTGTGATAGTCTAGCGCGCAACAGTCTGTTCCGGGGAACCAAGGGGTGGGCTCTCCTACACGATCAGCTCGCGAAATTGCGTGGCTTGGAGGATACGTTGCATCGTCGGGCATTCGGGCTTCGGAAAAAATCTCACGCCGTGGGGCGAGTTCGTAAGAGACACCGACTCCAACAAATGAGACTAGGAGGAGGTTTGGGATCAGAGATTGGGACATGCAATTGACTGAAATGAAATATCGATGGACAGGTCATCTGGAATCCTTAGGTGAGCGTGACCCTGCCCGCCTCTCTCCCCTCAGGTCCGCCGTTTTAGACATGCCAGGTTTTAACTTGCGCAGGAGAAAGCGCTGTGACGAGGCCGACGAGGCCATGCCCGCAAGCTCCGCCCCTGGAGCTGGGAATCCTTCCTCTCTTGTTGCTTTCGCCTCCGCCAGCCCTGGAATAGCGTGGCCAGTCAACCAAATCTTTGGGCTTACCACATGAGAAATGTTGTCAATTGGCGCTCGTTTGCAAGATTATAATTGTTGTTTTTGTTTCCTCTTTTCAATGCTGACTTTGTTCGCTAGCGCCTCTGTGCTCCCAACTATCACAGGGCCGAGGCCCGTTTCGAGGAGCCTACGTACATACATACATCACCAGCATCAGCACCATCATCACCACCGTCTTCCTCATTAGAATGCGCACATTCAAACACACTATAAACTTGTACACTCAAAGAAAGACAGAGAGAACGCGAGAGCGTGCGACATATATATATATATATAAAATAAATAAAAAAAGGAGGAATAGGATGAGGAGGAGAAGCAGGAGGTGGGGGAGGATGAGAGAGGATGAGAGAGGAGGAGGAGGAGGAGGAGGAGGAGGAGGAGGAGGAGGAGGAGGAGGAGGAGGAGGAGGAGGAGGAGGAGTGGAGGAGGAGGAGGAGAAGGAGGAAGTGGAGGAGGACGAGGAGGAGGAGGAGGAGGCGGAGGAGGAGGAGGAGGAGGCGGCGGAGGAGGAGGAGGAGGAGGACTGCGAGGACTCGTAGAAACAATCCAAGAACAATTGTTTTCGGGACTTCGGAATTCCACCACGCCGCTCCAGGCCAAATCCGTTCAGGCAACCCCTACTCCTGGCCCCTCCAGGCCAGATCCGCCCGGGCAGCGCGAAACCCCGAATACTATTGATGTTTTTTTGCTTTTGAGCCCTCGCAGACTTCGTGGACCCAAAACGTTGTCGTATTGATTTTCAGTGTATGGTGTTTTTTGTTGTTGTGCGGTTTCCCGTTGGTGTTGGTAATATGTTTTCTAGTGCCTTGGATTGTCTGTATTTTCTATGTTTTTGATTGTATGGATATCTAGGTGTTTTGAATGTCGTTGATTTTTTGTTTCTGAGCGTATGTATTTCTAATGATTTTGATTGTGTGGCTTTCTGACTGGCTTTCAGTGCGTGGGCTGTTGATTGGTTTTGTTTGTATGGATTTGGTCTTGCTGGTGATTCTACACGCGTGTGCATTTTTGTTTTGAATGCGCAGGGGAGAGGGGAGATGAGGAGGAGGAATATGAATACGATATGAAGATGGTTGTGGTGATGATGCTGATGATGATGACGATGATGCTGATGAAAATGATGATGCTGTTGATGGTGCTGATGAGGATGACTATGACTGCTGATGCTGAGGAGGACGATGATGACAATGATGATGATAATAATAATAATACTAATAACAACAATAATAATACTAATAATAATGATGCTGAGGATGGTGATGACGACGACGATGATGATGGTCGTCTTAAATCTCACTACGCAGGCCACACTGCGGAGGGGGAGCAGCGGGGCCCAGACGGAGTTCCCGCCCTCGCCCGTCTCGACCGCCATGCCGTGCCGCGCAGTGGCCGGGCATGGGCCTGGGAGCGGGAGGGGCCGCCGCGGCGGGGTGGCCGCAGGCGCCCCGAGCTGTGGGCACCGCCTCCGCCTCCTCCTCCTCCTGGCCTTCCTCCCTCCTAGGTGCGCTCCGCGGAGCGGCCGCCCGAGGGGACGGCAGGCCGCTGCGGTGCTTCTGGGCATCGGTCTCCTCTGAATTCCCAGGGTCTGCCCCGAAACGCTCACAGAAGAAGCAAACGCGGCATAGACAAACTTTTGGCGCTCCGCGCGGAGTTTTTGAATCTGCGCTGCACCGAGGTCCAGGCCGCCGCCGCCCGCGACTCGACCGAGCGAAGCGGAGAGAAAAACGGCTCCTCCTCCTCCGCCACCGGGGCAACCGCCGCGCAAGGCCGCCCCTACCGAGGGATCCGCCCCTGGCCATGCCAGGCGGGCCCTCGAAGCGCCGGGCCCCGCCGTCCGCCTCGAAGCGTGGCCGCCGACGCCGCCGAGGGCGCCGCCTCCCGCGGCTGGGTCGGCAGCACCACCCGCGGCCGCCCGCCGCTGCCGGCTGGACAGCCGCCCGGCGCCCGTCCGCAATGACACGAGGAGGACTTCTCCTCTCCTCGCCCCGCTGAGGACGTAGGATGTACGGGCTTTCCTCCGCGCACTGTTTTTTACACAGGACTCCTGGGAGTCTCGTCTTCGCGCAGGTGTTGCTCCCGCTGCAGCGCTGGCCTCGTTTTCGGGCTTCCGCTCGTTCCGAATCGTGTTCCCGCTGCAGCGCTGGCCTCATTTCCGTGCTCCCGCTCGTTCCGAATCGTGTTTCCGCTGCAGCGCTGGCCTCATTTCCGTGTTTCCGCTCGTTCCGAATCGTGCTCCCGCAATGGCGCTGGCGTCGCGTCATTATTTCCAGTGCCATGCCACGGCATGCAATGCAATGCTTGTGTTGTTCCGCTGTGCGATGCCATGCCTTCAGCTGAAATGCTCGGATGTGCAGTGCTTTCCTACGCAGTGTCACACCATGCTACACCATGCTACGCTTTGGTCTTCAACGACATGCTATGCCTTGTTCTGTTCTGTGCCGCTTTGCGATGCCATTCTTTGCGTTGCACTGCTCTGTGATGCAATTCTGCACTACGCAACGCCACGCCATGCTATGACATACTACACTCTGCACCCTCTCGGGATCATTGCCCTGCTCGACGTCCGACTGTGCGAATAGAGAGGATATCTACGCCATGGTAATGGATGGGAGGGAGGGGTATGACGTCAGATATGACGCGAACGCACCTAATTAGCTTGTCTCCCTCCCCTCCCTCCTCCCTCCCCTCCATCCCATTCCCTCCTCCCTCCCGCCCTCCTCCTCCTCCTCCGGGCCTTTGCATGTGGTTGTCTACGCCCGTGAC